TATCCTACAAAATATCTCCTCAATGATCTCAGCCCCAGTAACATCTACCTTCTCTCGACTCCAATCCCCAACCTCCAAATTATTTTTGTCGGCCCTTTATGATATCCTTCGCAGCCACACCATTACTACCTCAACTAAAATCCCTAATTACGTCAAGCAATGGGGCTCTTTAGTTCAACAATCTCCAGAACCCGTTCTTCATACATTGCTTCAAAGCTGGTGCATATTACGTAGAACGATCTTATGCGAGAAATGGGGGGAAATACAATTCAAACTAATACATAGAGTCTATAGTGCTTTTAACTTCCTACCCAAAACCTGAACAAAGAATGGCTAACCACATGCCCGAAATGTGCCACCTATTTACTTGACATCTCACATCTATTTTGGTCCTGCCCACACATCCAGTGTTTTGGTCCCAAGTTTAAGCTTACATGCATTCAATCACTGGTATAATGAGAGAGCCACATCCACTTCTCTGTCTATTCCATGACATAAACCAAGATCCTACACCTTAACACCTATGTTTAAACCGCTGGGAACACCATTGCTTATTAGGAACAAAGTATTTCTTCTAAAACACTGGCTTTCAAAAACACCACCCAATCATGTTGCTCATATTGTTAAAGTGGCTATTCATAGATACCTTAGACGCTAAGCTTCCCCCTAATTTGGCCCGCCCATCTATTGGTAGCTGGACCGGTTATATTCAAACTTAACTAAGGAGCAAAGGGTAGAAATATGAAACATTCTACAGAATTCCACTCGTTATCCATCCACTAATAATCTAATCCTGAAATCGTGCTTAAAATCATATAATAATATATCCCAATACAGTACTTTTATCACCTCCCTTTATTCTGCCTCTCCAGCAGTTCCCATTTAGTATAGGAGATGAATCAACACACTATTAACTCTGATGCATTCTGGTGTAATATATATAGTTTGTTCTTTGTTCACCCAGTTATAACCGAACATTATGCAATTATTGATGATTTGATAGTGATTTTACTATGCCTTTCCTTTGATACATGACTATTAGTGCTCCGTTTGATATACTGTCAATCTTTTTAACTTTTCAATAAACATTTTTTTTTTTTTTTTTTAGCATAAAACTAAATCTGACGGAGCCACCATATCCATCACATATGTCCAAGGACCTTTATGTCACAGCTGTAACCCTTCCAGGTAGGACCAGATGACACAGAGAAAAGTATGGCATCCTTTACTCAAAACAGAGTTGAAGGAAAATATGTCTAATGCCCTAGGCTTCTGGCAACTTAGGTGGTCGGCTTGCCAGTTGTCTGTCCTGGTATGCAGACCGCAGAGCATATTGATATATGGTTTGCGGACCAGTGCAAAAGAGAAAAGTGATACTCCAAGCGCCAGCGATGAAATCTGGATTCCTCCTTGCTGGATGACATACGTCAACACTGTGGCATTATCCAACCATGCTCATGGGTATCATTCTGGAAGATGAGTTCAATGTAAAAGTGACAAATGGTTTGAAGGTACAGCACAATAATTGGAAGAGGAGTCTCATTAAGATAGCTGAACTATTTACACTGTCCCAAACAGACTGGAACCACGTTGCACAAACTACTTCCAGGCAAAAAGATTTGAGAAAATGCCACCAAACTATTGTGCATGCACTTGTGTGTCAACACCCA